TCTAGCTTTTAATAAAGTGAAACACACCCTACCCCCCATTTCACTGCTGTTCTCATGTAATAGGAGTGATTGGCAGAGCTGCATGTGGGAATTCCTGGGACTGTTGTCTGTGTGCAGTTTGGAAGCATCTAACAACAGCCTGAGCCTCATTCGTGGTGGAGGATGTAAGAGAACAGCAATCAACTCCTACTGCTAAGAAGACAACATGGATTTTGAATACAGTTCCAGTACCCGAGCCTCGTTCCAGACTACATGAGGTATGGCTACTGCTGGGTACCTGCCAGATTCCTTACTCCCTTCCATCCCAGCACTTCTCAAATGTTAGTGTGCATCACAGTCACTTGAATGGCTTGTGAAAACACAGATTTCTGGGCTCCACCTTCAGAGATTTTGAATCAATGGTTCTTTGGGAGGCCCAAGAATTTGCATTTCTCACAGACTCTCTGCTGATGCGTATGTCCGTGGGCTGGTGTATCTTAACAATGAACTCACAATACAGGAGACCACCTGAATTAATCTTTACTCCTTGCAGTTAAAAGAGGCCTCTTAATACACCCTTTGGATTCAGACTGGATTGAAGACAAAGCCCAATGGGAAACAGCATGTTCCTCGAGCCTTGCCCACACCCTGGTGGTTACAGTAGTGTTACTGGGTCAAGCATCACTGTCTAATTCTCTCTTCTTGGATGAATCTCTCCTGGACAGCCACACAGTAGGTTGTGGGAGACTTTCAGCCTTTAATCTTCAGGGCAGAAAACATGCTTGAATTCCAGGAGTGAATTCACCCCGATTCAAGCAGGGCCTACATACTATATCCATAGAAAGCAAAGTTGATCATATCAATACCCTGGCTTTAAAGTGAATGGCCAAATGAATGAACAAAAATCTAGTTATGCATCATATGCCCTGAGGAGTAAAGAATGATTCATACATAATCCCTGCTTTTGAATAACTTAATGTAATTGAGGATACACATATGTAAACAAATACGTATTTTAATAAATATGGGAAGCACTACTATCATGGTGTGGACCAAGTGTGATGGAAGGAGAGATGTACTAAGCCTACAGAATGGGAGTCAAGGAAGGCCTCATCACATATCTACCCGAAAAATTTCTGAGGCATTTCTTTCTATACCTCTATTTATATATTATTAATAGCTATGCTAACCTGCTGGGTAGACATGTTCTTTCCATCATCTTAAACAAGCCTACAGAGATTATTCCCACCCCCTTCCTACCCAGATTCAGTTTTTCTGTCTTTCCTAAGGATGGGATGAACTATTACCGCTCCTCCCTATACCACCGTGAGGAGGTTCACAAGCGCTCATCTGCCACCCCTCCCCCAAAGTATACCCATTCAAATAGAGCTGAGGTCAGAAAGAATGTTATCAGATGTTTTATCAAAACAAGGGTATCTATCCTCTACGCCCCACACTACAGACTGATAGTTAGGCTTAGAGGAAAGAGCACCACAGGTGAAATCAGGCTATATGGAGTTAGCATCCTAGCTCCTCACTTAGTAATTTAGGTACCCAGGCCAAGATATTTAACCTTCCTGAAACTCCACTTTGTCATTAGTAAAATGAAAGTATCATCATGTTCTTCACAGAGAAACCGTGAGATTAAAGGATAGTCAGCTTGCCTTAACATGATAAGCGAAGTCTACAATCTCAATTCTGTAAAAATCTTGCCCGTTGTTGCAAGATTAAATACGCCACTAGGACGAGCTGCACAGTCAGCAGGCGTCGCAGTGGTCTGGCGCCACCTGGTGGGAGCCGCTCAAACGTGATAGGATTCTGGGCCCCAAGCTGCCTCCAGCTCCTGGGAGATGGCAGTGACGACAGAACTCCTTCAGCTCAGGTCTGCTTTCTCTGTCCGGGGCTGTTGGGGACACAGGCACCCATCCTCAGCCTCTGCATTTCTGAAAGTAGGTGAGCTGTTCCGTCCCACTGGTCTCGGACAGCCCTCCAGACCTGCCTGCTCCCAGGGGATGAGCACTGAAGCCAGGGCCCCTTGGGAAGGAGCAGGTGGAGGGTGAAAGGGAGCCAGTCACGGGTCACTCTCCACTGCCACTCACATAGAAATGAAAGAAATCGCCTCGTCACAGCCCAGCCGGGGCTGGCCCCTCCGTTCTCACCAGGGCCTCCTCTCACCCATCAGAGCGCAGAGCCCCTCCCCACCTCAGCTGCTCCTGCCTGGCACCTTCCAGGGTGCTGATTCCCCCATTTCCAGTGCCTTCCATCAGTGCCATTACCCCACTTCGGAATGACACCCCTCCAGTGGTCTGGTTTTTGTTAGTTGTCTGCCCCACTACTGGTAAATGATTCTTCCTGTTAACTCCGCTATTCCAAGTCACTTAGTTGCGTTTTCCCCTCCGAATTTAAATGACCCCTTTCCCTAAGGACTATGCGCGTTCACACATGAACTGCCGTTTCCTCAGCCTCTGTCGGCTTGCGCGTCTTCTCAAGGCCTCTCCGGGACTTCTCTGCCCCCTCTCCACTCCACCGCTTTGCTCTGCATGGAGAGAGGCAGGCAGGTGAGGAGGGAGCTGGGGCCCCACGTAGCAAGTGGGGACTCAGGAATCTCAGCTCAGTGCCATTCAAATTGAAACCCAGGGCTCATTTGTTCTGAAAAATGTATATACTGTCTTGACCTTGAACCCAATCTGCCTATACCATATCTGACCCAAGTTTGAAAATCAAACTAAGTCAGTGCTTTGTGTAACCCACTGGAATTATTAAAGTTTCTGCCACTATCCTATTTATAATCTTCATTTCAGGGTTTTTACCCTAGAAAGCTTTCTTTCTGCCCCTCCCTGGTTCTCAGGACCTGGTTTGCCCGTCCACCCTATGGAGAGAAGAGATCAGAGGAGATATAAGTGAATGCTGCCCGACTGTCTATCCATACTCACTTTTCTGCCCGCCCCAGTGTTGGCATCGTCACCAGGGGCTGGTGGCACTGGCCACTGCCACACCAGGTGCCTCCCATCTCTGTCTGCCATGGGCTAATACCGGTGGCCATGGCTGATAAAGTGGCTTTGTGGACATGGTGCTCACTCAGGTTTTCCTTTGATAATTGCTCAGTTGTACTTAAAACCTCCTCATCTCAGAGGACTGCCACCTCCTCCCGGGGTCACTGCATCTTCTTCCAGTCTCCACCTCTGGCGCACACCCCACCTCCTTCTCCAGCTGCCCAGGGGAGGCTCCTGACCAGCCAGCATCTCCACTGACCTCCGGGACCATCTCACCATGTCCCGGAACAGTGAGTCACTTCATTCCCAACTCCTAGGGGACTCCTTTCGTCGTCATTCATCCCACAGAGAAAATGAATGAATGAAGGACAAAAATAAAAGAACTGGAAAAGTCAGAGCACTTGTAAGAGTGAGAAAGAAGCATCATTTGGGGCAGAAATGTTATAAACCACATCCAGTCTCTAAGTGATCAGTTCTCCAATCTTCGGTGAGTAACTAGCCTGGAGTTTTACCGAGCTTGCAGAAGTGAACACAGAATCGGTCCAGATGCCCTTAGTGAGCAAGGAGAACTAGAGATGCTGGGCAGCCAGAGCTCCCCAAATACGTGGAAGTGTTTAAAGGGGGAGAAAGCCAGGCTTCAGATATTATAGCCAAGTATGTTAGAAAATAAAGCCTAGGAATGGTAAAAATGTCCTAGGTCTACTCCATGGGGATGTTAGAGACTACCAAATGCTTCATTTGTGAAATTTTGTTCATTTGAAAGCTTTTTACTGAGTCCCTGCTCTGTGCCTTCATGAAGCTTGCATTTTTAGTGGGTGGTGGAGATAGGCAACACGCAATTGAACATATACAGGAATATACTACAGGTTAAGTCTGGTGATAAGCACCCAAGGTGTGGGTAAGGGATGACACTCAGGATGGTCAGGGAGGGTCTCTCCAATAAGGGGACTTTTGAGAAGAAAGTGAGACATGGGAGAATGCAGGGAACAAACAGTCTGGGTGGTGGGAAAGGCAAGTGGATTAGTCCTGAGGCTTGGTGAGAACACGAAAGAGGCCCATGCGGCTGGAGCGAAGGAGGAAGCAAGAGTCACAGATGACATCTGAGAAGGGACAGAGGTCCCAACAATGCACACAGGCCACTACAGGGACTCGCCTTTTATGGTGAGGGAAATGGGGTGGGGGGGGGACTGAAAGGTTTGAACAGAGCAATGACATGATCTGAGTTATATTTAACAGGATCACTCTTGTTGCTTTGGGGAAAATGGAGTAAGGGAATGGGGATGGGAAATAGAGGGAGTAGTTAAAAGGCTCCTGCAATAACAGGGGCCAGAGGGCACCCCGGTCTCTCCCTCCCTGGCAAAGTGGAGGCTTGTTCATGTTATACGCCTCCTACAGTGCCTGGCATAATAATGATGGTCAAATGAAACTTTTAGCAATGGCAGTCATACCAGTCATGCTGATGCAGGCGAGGAGCTGTGCACTCTGCAGATTGAAAAACAAAGTCTCTGATAAAACATGCCTCGGGGGAAATAGAAGGCCCACACATGGAAAGAGGTACCATTTCAAACCTTAGTTCATTAAGAATATATGCTTTACCTACTGCCGCTTCCCTGGAAACCCATAAACAAATCCTACTGTCTTCTCCACCCATGCAGGTCCCAATGGGCAAGCAAAACTGGGCTGGGGAAATTGAGACCGTTTTGTTTGCATCCTTGAGGCCATGCTGCCGCCCTCTGCTGAGGCTGTTGTGCAGAAACACCTGGGTTTATTAGAAGCTTCTGCATCACCCAAGAGACAGAACCACCGTTCTTCTGCTCTTACACCCAGCACTTGCATGTATCCAAGAGACAGCCTAAAGTAACAATATTCCTCCAAGGCTGCTATCAGAACTTCTGACCCACTCACTTCGGGACCGATCCAGGGCAAAGGTGGGATGCCTCGTGAAGAGACGGTCCTGGCTTAGCGTGTACACGTCCCCTGCTCTGCCGGCCACTGCGTGAGCCTTACATAGGCCAAGTAAGAGACATCATGCTGATTGTGCCTCCCGTCATGACTGTCTCATGACATCAGGAGTGCATTTCTGTCCCCTTCACTACTGGAGTTTGCAGTGGGGATCCAGGCAAAAGCCTTCATTTTCTTGGTGAATTTTTGGGACATGGTGAGGAGGAAGCCCCTGAGCAACTGTGACCTTATCCTGCTGAGTCTCAGCTTCACCCAGCTTTTCCTGCATGGGCTGCTGTTTCTGAATGCCATCCCTCCCTCCTACCCACTTCCGGCGGGCGACAGACCCACTGAGTCTCAGCTACCAAACCATCGTCATGCTCTGGACGGTCACAGATCAAGCTGGGTTCCGGCTCACCACCCGCCTCAGTCTCCCCCGCTGTGCCGAGGTTGTCTGCTTCTCTCACACCTTCCTGCTCTGTGTGGCAACCTGGATCACCAGGAAGATCCGCCAGATGCTCCTGCCTGCTGTTCTTTTCTCCTGTGTCTACACTGCCCTCTGTTTGTGGGACTTTTTTAACAGATCTCATTTCACCATCACAACTGTGCTCTACTTGAATAAAAATACAGAATTCAATTTGCAAACTGTGAAACTTGATTTCTATCATTCCTTCTTCTTCTGCAGCCTAAGATCCATCCCTCCCTTCTTGTTTTTTCTGGGTTCTTCTGCAGTGCTGATTGCCTCCCTGGGGACGCCCAGGAGGACAATGAGGGCCAAAACCAGAGACTCTTGTGACCCCAGCCTGGAGGCCCACACAAAGCACTCAAATCTCTCATCTCCTTCCTTGGCCTCTGCGTGCTATCACTCTGTACTGGCCTTAATCTCAGTGCCTTTGATGATTCAGGGGCACACAGGTTCAGTGTGATGGTCTGTGTAGGGATGGTGGCAGCCTGTCCCTTGGGACATGCGCTATCCTGATCATAGGCAATGCCAAGCTGAGGACAGCTGTGGAGACCATTCTCCCCTGGGTTCACAGCAGCCTAAAGGTAAGGGCCGGCCACCAGGAAGGTTCCAGGACTCCAGATCTACGCTGAGAGTGGACATGCGACAAGCTGTCCATGATGCGCCTCCATTCACAAAGCCTTCAGGAACCTATTCCAGTTTCTTCTGTAACACATAACTGAGAGTCTCCATTTTACAGCCATGGACACTCCCACAGCAGAAAAAAATAATTAAAGCTCATACATGGCCGAGGCAAATAGAATAGCATTGGTCCCCTAGGTTTGTTTTGATAAAATTAATACAACAGAGGTGAGGTACTCAGTATTTTTTTGTATTCTATCACTTATCAGTGCTTGGTATGAGCCAAACCATGAGAAATCACCTCTTAAGAAATAATTGCTTTTCGTGTGACTGCTAAACCTATCTCCTAAAACACGTGCTAGCATAATCTTTGAAAATATTCACTATAGTGGCAACTACATAATCCTCTTGAAACTCTACAATTTTCATGGAAACGTAAGATATGAAAAGATAAACTTGGAAGAACAATTACGTCATCACTTTAGCTTCAAGAAGTATTACATTTAAACTCCTACAGGTTGTTTATTGTTCATGATGCGTGATCAAAACCGAAAATTTCTGTGATATGACTGCCCTTGTACTGTTCACCATGTAAGAACTTATTCACTATGTAAGAACTTGTTCACCATGTAAGAACTTGTTCGTTATGCTTCAGAAGATTGGAGACTGTTGAGAATTAGGCCTGGGGTGGATTAATGATTGTGCATTGAGTCCCTTTTACAGAATTTTATTGTTGTTAACAACCATATGATCAATAAATATGAGAGATGCTCTCTCAAAAAAAAAGAAACTAGAAGGAATTAGACCAAATAGTTACAAATGAAAAAAAAAAAAAAACTCCTACAGGAACCAGAGGATATCTCTTTGCTACCCTGTTTTCATTTCCTTGGTATAAAGATCCGGAAGTGGGATTGCTGAGTCATCTGGTAGTTCCGTTTCTAACTTTCTGAGGATTCCCTCATCCTGTGTTCTACAAAGGCTGCTCCAATTTACATTGCCACTGTGCGTGAAGGTTCCACATTTTGGGCGACATTTGTTATCTGCTGTTTTTCTGATGATAGTTGTTCTAACAGGTGTGAGATGATACCTCTTGGTGCTTTTGACTTGCATTTCCCTGACGATGAGGGATGCTGAGAGCCTTTCATGTACTTGTTGACCATTTGGATGTCTTCTTTGGAAAAATTGTCTTTCCAAGCCCTCTGCTCATTTTTTAAACAGGTTGTTTGTTCTTTTGCTATTGAGTACATGAGTTCCTTCTACATTTTAGACATTAACCCCTTATTAGATATATAATTTATAAATATTTTCTCCCAAACTCCCAAATATTGAGGCTAGTTCATGTTAGTAGTTATAATAGAACCTCGCAGTGGGGAGTGACATGATCATAGTGATTTTGTAAAAATGTGTCTGATAGTATTGTCTAATATTTATTTGAAGAGGAAAAAGCAAAGGGGTGGAGCCATTTGCACTCCCACTGAAGTGAAATATTTGGACTAGGATGGGGTTGGTGGAAATGCAGATGATGGATAGATATGAAAAGCTTTTGAAAAAATCATCAACTAATGATATGATGGTTGTTAGAGAAGGAAAAATCAAGTCAATTTTTGATACATGAGTGTGTCATGATATGATCACTAATAAGAATAAAAGAAGTTGAGAAAGGAAGTCAGGTTGAGTTTGGAGAAAATGGTAAATGTGGTTTGGAACTCATTGCAACTGGGTTCACATTATGTCATCTAGTTGGAAACCACCAGCAGATTCTCGGAAACAAAGAACTAAAATTCAGATTGGAAGACAGAACTAGAAATAGAACTGTAGTCATCAAAAGAGAAGCTAGCTTGAAAAATGTAAATTATAAATTGGATGATGAAAGCAGAAGAAAATTATTGTAAAGGTTGGAGGCCATAAGTTTTGGGAGGAGAAAAGGATAAAACAGAGTGAAGATGGTTGGAATCGACAGATTTCTTTCTTTTTCTTTTTTTTGCCTTTCTAGAACTTTCTTTCATCTGAGAACAACCACCTCCCCCTAGAAGTAACTGCTCCTTGTGCTCCAGTCAAGATGTTTGCCGTGATCCTGCCCCTGATCATATGTGATGGGTGCATTGCAGACCAATCAAAGTCTACCTTTGGGATTTTCTAACTTGGTCCAAGAAAAAAATCGTAAGATGTGAAATCTAGCAGCTTCTTGTGTCCTGTTTCCTGCTGTATTTCCTCTAATAGGCAAAAATGAGCAGAGACAAGATGGGGGACATGGTAAAACCTGGGTTTATTTGACTCCTGATGTTTCAGAGATCCAGCTACATCCTTTTCCTGCTTTGGTCTCACTGTCAAACCCCTTATCATATTCCATGAACCAATACATACTACTTTTGCCTAAATGTATTTGTACTGAAGTTCTTAGATTTGCAACCAAAAGACCTATGATACAATGAGCGATACAAAATCCGTAACTGGGACCAGTAAGACACAAAAACAAGTTATAACCATTTCAGTTAGATATAGACCAGAAAAAAAAAGATTATCCTTAAAATGTTCAGTTCAGACTCAATGGGAAATCTAAATAATGAAAAATCATCTTCAATAATGTAAAAAAGATGAATAGTTACAAGAGATCCGGAGAGTGAGTTATTGTTAGGGCCTCTTTCATAGTACATTTTATGCTACTTGATCTATTTTGTTTGCAAAGCATATTTAATATTTATGATTAAACTTAAATAAATTTCATTTACTTAATGGTGCTACCCACGTAAATACTGCCTGAGAAGGTGGTGTACTTTTAAAGGGGTGGGGGAGAGGAAATGAGGGCATAGGGGTCGACCTAAGCTCTCTGTACAATGGAAGTCCTAAATATACACAACTAGTTTTTTAAGGTATATGGTGGTAATGCCCCAAGTCTCTCTCACCCCAGATAATCTCTTATCCTAATCAGGCAGTACATTTTCTGTAGGTACCTGAGGGATATTTATGCCAAAAATGCAGGTAGGAGAACTGAAAAATAACCAGTGAAGTACATCTATTTCACTGTTTTGCTAAAGACACGTCTCCCATCGTAGCACCTCCCAAATACAGACACAATTTAGGTGCTCTGGCATCGTCCAGTTTGAGTGGAAAGGTAGTAGAAAACTTCATAAGTGGAAGCATGCATACACAGACACATATCTCAAAGGAAACATGAGAAACCTAAGCTCCTACTTATAAACTAAGGATTTCCAGCGTCACTCCAAATGTCCCAACTCCAGATTTACTGAAAAGGTTAGTAGGCTCCCTGGAAGAGGTGATATTTGAGTGCCTATAGGACTTGTCTAAATACTTGATCGACTTAAGCAATTGTTCATATACAGAGTTTAATTTGTATAAATCTGGTTTTCCACTCAACTATTTTGTATCTTTTATTTCCATTTGGATCTTTGAGAAAGGACTTTGAAAATCAGGTTCAGATGCTTTTTCTGGCTGTTCTTTGCTTCTAGGATATAAACTTTCAGAGAGACAATTCATAGTGTAGTCATGATTAAGCATGGGAGTTCTGGAAGTCATAATATCTGATAGTTTCAAAGTTCAGCTCCAACACTGACTAAATTTGAAACACCAAAATATCAGTTACTAGATGATGAATGAATTCTGATATATTCATGCAGTGGTATATCACACAGCAGTGAAATTGAACATGGATGATTTCACAAACATATTTGGGATGAAAAAAGCAAGTTTCAGGGCAGTTCATATAATTCACACCACTTACGTAGGCCTCACATACCTAGAAAACACCACCACATAGCATACAGAGTTACCCATGTATGTGACCTAGTATGAAGAAATATGCAATTACAAACACCAAAGCCAAGGAAGTGGGTACTGCAGCGAGAGGAGCAGGATGTGACTGGTGAGCCCAGCGGTTCTGCAACATCTTCCGATGTTGACAGATAGTAACTGCACTAGTGGGGGTGAGGATTTAAGGGAGTTTCAGTTCTATTTTAATGTTTGATTTCTAGGATTAGGAGGTGGGTGTTTGCTATTCTTTGTTCTTTTTGTGTACACCTGAAATATTACATGATATACTTTTCAAAGACTCGGCTCTCTTTTTGTTGACATTACACGCCAGTTAGCACTTTGAAAACTACTTTGCCAGGGCATTCCCATATAGATGCACAATCGCATAATTAGATGCACTCTTTCCTACAAAAAGTCTATTTTTGGAAAATGTATTTAGCATTAAATAATCTAGCTTACCTCACATGCCAAAATGTGTTTTCAGAAATAAAGCTGATGACATGAAATACATTTATAAAGTTATAAAATAAAAGATTAATTTCCAATACATGTTCTCTGGTTTTAAAATTATTGGGCAAGCATTCTTCTCATACTGAGAAGAACCTATACTTGCAAACAACTGTTTTCCATCAAAAATCAGAATGAAATTAAGTGTTGCTTCTAGTTAAAAGGATTCAAAGCTAAGGCAGAGAAAGACAAATACCATAAGATTTCACTTATTTGTAGGATCTGAAAACAGAACAAAATTAACAAAATAGCAGTAGACTCAGACAGTGGGAAGGGACTGGTGGTTACCATGGGAGAGGGGTTAAGGCGGAGGGGAGGGGGATAAAGAGGCACAGAAATTCTCAATCATAGGTTGGTCACGAGGATGGCAGTGCAGCATGGAGAATATATAGTGGTCCTATAACATCTCCCTGTGTTGACAGATAGTAACCGTGCTAGTGAGGGTAAGGATTCAATACTGTGAGTAACTGCTGAACCACTGCATTATATACTTGAAACCAATATGTTTGTATATCAAATACACTTCAATTTAAAATATATATATAAAAGGATTCAAGGCTAAATCCTTACTTCACATCTCAACGTTCAATATTAACCTGTAATTGTAATCTGCAAAAGTATTAGGTTTCTGGTTCCAAATTAAAGGCAGATAAAATTATGAAAACATAATCTAGTAAATAAACATCTCTAATTTCAATTTATCTTTTCAATAAATTTAAAAGATTGTCTCCAATAT